TGATACTCCACTTTTATTTTTCAGAAATATTTTGGCTGACTAAAATATCTAGTATCTTACCGTGGGTTCTCTAGGTGGCTAGCTTGTGTCCCAGGAACAAAGATCAGTGGATGAAGATTCAGAAGCAGGGTCAAGAGGGAATGCTCTGCCAGAACATGTTAGATAGTGGACGTTCCTGATCTTAACACCACAAGCCACACCCTGTCACCTGAGATCTGTATGCAGCTCCATAAATCACATGGAATCTTGAAATAAAGACAATTCTTGCATCTAATATAATAACTAATGTGTACATCTGAAAATGAGCCCAATTTTCAGTAATGGAGGAAACAAAGCCTATAGATAAATATATACACACGTCCATCAGGATTGGAGGAACACTTATTAACCTGTGTTATGCAGATAGCATAACCTTGCTTGCTGAAACTGAGGAGGACCTGAGGCACTGATTGCAGAAAGTCAATGTCTGTAGTCTTCAATATGGATTGAAGCTCAACAAAAAGAAAAAGATTTTCACTGGTCCAGTTGGCAGCATCATGATAAATGGTGAAGAAATTGAGATTGTTAACAGCTTCAGTTTGCTTGGTTCCACATTAGCAAGAAATCTGCCAAGAAATCAAAAGAATTGCATGGGAAAATCTACTCTCAGGGACCTCGCCAAAGTACTGAAGAACAGTGATGCCAGTCTAGAGATTATGGTGTGCCTGAGTCAGGCCATGGTCTTTGCAATTACTTGCTGTGCATCAGAGAGCTGGACAATGACTAAGGAAGAAGAATTGATGGCTTTGAGTTGTGGTGCTGGAGAAGGGTATTGAATATATCATGGAATGCTAGGAGAACAAACAGGTTCGTCCAGGAGAGGGTGAAACCAGGATGCTCCTTTGAGGCAAGGATTCTGAAGCTCCGTCTGACATACTTACAGCATGTTGCCAGGAGGGACCAGTCCTTGGAGAGGACGTCATGCTTGGGAGGGTGGAGGGACGGCACAAGAGGAAGAACCTTCAGATGAATTGACTCAGTGACTGAGGTAATGGGAGTAGGTATGTCGGAGACAGTGAAATTGGCTCAAGATGAAACAGTTCAGAACTGTTGTACTTAGGGTTGCTATGAGTCACAGGTGACTTGATGGCACATAACAACAACATACACATATGTCAAAACAAGAAATAGCCATAACGCTTGGAATCCTTACTCCTCCACCTGGTTGTAGCTGGTGTTCAGAACTGCTACCTTTCGTACCTTTGCCCTCAGTGGGCACCTCAGCTGGTCGTTGTTCTCTGCCCTTACTGCTTGGAGGTCAAGACAATTAGTGGTCAGGTCACAGTGAATTGCTCTCTCCTCCCCCTGGTCCGTTGAGGATGTCTGGGGGAGCTCCTGTATTTCTGACTGTTCATGTTCAGGGAATTGCTCTCTCGCCTCCTCCTGATTTTGTGAGGATGTCTGGGGGAGCTCCTGTGTTGCTGACACACTCTGCTTCCACTGTGTGATGTCATTGAGGTTTCCCATTGGGAACTGCCTTTTGCCTGTTGTTCCAGTGGACAACAATGGACAGGTATGGTCTGTAACTTCCAGTTCTGTGGAATCAGTAATGTGTCGTCAGGGGGAGTATTCTTTCTTTGGAGACATGCAGGCCAGAAGAGATAGGGTAGCAGGGAGAGGAAGTGAAAATGGGCAGGTGGGCTACCAGGGTTTACAGCGGTGCCCTTCCCATCCCCACCCCCTTGGTTGCTGGGCCTCTTACTCCTGGGTGTCAGAGAAACAACTCCATAGTTTGGAGCTTCATAGTTTAGCAGAGAATACTATCCCAATTGGTGCTGTAACCTCCTGATGGCCATACGGGTGTTCTCAGCTTCAGGGTGATGGAGTGATCAGCCTTCTGAAGGACAGTGCTCCCAGCTGTGCTAAAACCTCCTGACAGCCATTCCTGGGAGCTGTCATGTTTGAGGTGACACCCAGCTATGCTGTAACCTCCTGATGGCCAATCCTGGGTGCTCTCAGTATTGGGCGTGACACCTCCGGTGTGCTGTAACCTTCTGACACTGTTTCTGGGTGTTGTTAGGCTTTGGGGTGACTCCACCCAGCTGGGCTGTAACCTGACGGCCGATCCTGGGTACTGTCAGGTTTGCCTTCGGAGTAACTGGGACATGGTAAGACCAGTCAGTTCCATGAGTATAGGCCTCTTGCTACACTTGCTTTGCAGTGATCTGAGTCCCTTGGCCCAAGGTGATGCTATGTGGGATGGTTTGGCAGTACACAAGGTATTCTGTTAGTCTGTGGATAGTGGTTTTGGCAGGAGCAATGTCTGAAGGAAGGGAAGTACTTTTCAGAGTGAGTGTCTCTGAAAGAACAAAGTGTTAGCCTTTCTGTGATTGTAATGGTCCAGCATCATCTGCTTGACACCAGGTCACTGGCTGACCACCCTGAGGAATAGTTCCATGTTGAGGACTCATTGACAGCCTTTGCTTCTGGAAGACAGGACACTCAGCAGTGACTTTCTCCGAGTGGGCCTTTGTGAGTGGACATCAATGTCACTGGGCACTCTGCTCATGAGACCACTGGAGACAGTGAGAATGCTGTCAAGAGGCTGGCTTGTTTCCACAGCATGGACCATCCTACTCCACTGTTAGATTGCCAATTCAGATCACAGTCTTTTTAGTCACTTGCTATGCATCTCAGAGCTGAACAGTGAATAAGGAAGACAGAATTTATGCCTTTGACCTGTAGTGTGTGGTGTCAGAGAAGAGTGTTGAATGTCCCATGGACCACCAAAAGAACAAACATACAAGGCTTGGAGAATGTACGGCAGAGTGTTCCTTGGAGACAAAGATGATAAAGCTTCATATCACATCCTGTGGGGATGTTGCCAGGAGAGGCTTTTTCTTGGCAAGGGACATCATGGTTGGGAAGACAACAAAGGACGACAGACAGACCTTCAGCCAGATGGATTAGCACAGTGAGGACAGCAGTGAGCTTGAGCGTGCCAGAGATTGTGAGGATAGGACAGGGTTCAGGTCAGTTGTTTGCAGAGTCATTTTAATTGACAGCACTTAACAGGCACAATGTCCCATTGTTAAAATTTTCCTCTGCCAAGGTCACTGATGAACATTTACAGGAGACAAATGCCTTCACTTTTTTGCCCTATTCAGAGAGGCCCATTTACACACACACATCTGCTTCATACCTCTTCACTAGTTTCCCAGGCATGCTCCTTCCAAGTCCTTGACTGTCCAGCCAAACCACTGGTCACACAGCCCAGGAATCCATGCACAGTTGCACATCTGGCCGTTTCTCCTTTCAAGTGAAGTGAAGCCCTGGGCGCATGCTGGGAACGTGGAAACTGCCACTTGGGGTTTCCCTGTACCAGTGTCCTTCAGGGAGGTCCCAGGAAGGGGACTGCTGTGCTGTGGCTGCCTACGGCCTCCACATTGTCAGATGCCCTGGCAGCAGGTTCTTCCTCAGATCTTCAGGTCACAGCTGAAAACCAGGAGAGGGATGCTGATGTGGCAGCAGTGGAGGCTTTGGACATCTGAGCCTCTTCTTCATGCCCTTTCCTCCCTAGCCTGCCCCTGCATATACACCATTTCCATTCCATGGTGCAGTGTCACTTTATGATGGGGTCAGATGGCTCGAAGGCCAGGGTCCATGTTCAGTCTTCTAGGATACAATAGCAAGCCAAAAGTGTTTCTTTAAAAGGAAGCAGTTCTCCATAGAGGACAGCAGGACTGCTTCAGAAATTCTGTGGATCAGTACTGTGCTTACCACCAGAAGCTGTCAAAGGCCCCTGACAGCTCTGTATAGCAGCAGCCCATGCCTGATGCTGGAACTTCTGTTATGGCCCCCTTTCAAACTAGCAGCTTTTCAAGTCACTTGGTAAAGAGCTAGAGAGTACATCCAAATGAGGGCTGTGGTACTTGATTTTATCTGTGGGGGAGTGTGTCGGACACAATGACATACCTTTAGAAGAAGCATCTAGTCGTGCTCCATGCCACTGGACCACTAGAAAGTTCAGTCAAGTTCAAGGCACTTGAATTCTTGTCATATTAATTTCCCTACCTGTAATATGGAAAGTTCTATGGCTTAGTTGTAATAAGTTGTGCGGCCAGCTCTAAGGCATGTATTTCAAATCCACCAGTGAATCCTGGGGAGAAAATGGTCAATCTAGTCCCATCTAATTTAAAGCCTCTGAAAACCTGCTGGAGGGTCAGCTATGAGTAGGTATGACTCAGTGGCAATGATATATATGCAAATATATGCCATCAACTCCCAACAGAGTAGACAAATCTGTCTTAGAGGAAGTGCAACTCTGGGCATCTTGTCAAGAGGTGCAAGCCTTAGAAGAAGACGTGCTGAGAAATGGAAAGAGGGAAAGAGAGGAAGACTCCTCAGTTAGATGGATTGACTAACTGGGCTCAGAGATATCCGAGATTCTGAGTGGTGCACGAAAGGACCAGGTTCAGGTCTGCTGTCCACAGGGTCAGCCCCCAACAACAGCTGAAGGCAGATGTGGTAAAAACCAAGTCTAGAGTCACTGACATTGCTTCCATGTAGGTCCAGTCAGCATGGTGCTAGCTCTGTTAACACCCCGTGAAAGGTTTGGTGACAGAGCTATTGTGGACTCACCGATGGCCTGGGGCTGCAGAGTGGTGGGGGCAGGGGAACGCAAAGTTGCCAGGCCGGTGCCAGGAGACACCGATTGGTTCAAGCAGTTCATATTATTCGTTCAATCTGGAACAGCAGCTGCTACTGGGGTCATCCTCCAATTATATTTATAAGAACGCCATCACTTTTCAAGGTCCATTTGTTTTCTTCACAGGTCAAGCAGGTACATGGAATGGGGATCTGGTGGGAACTGCCGACTGTGCCCCCCTTGAGTCCTTGATGCAGGCCATCCGAAACTGAGGCATTGCTTGGCATTTGCTATCCTCATAGCTAGTGGCAAGTCCAAGACTGGCACTTGCTTTACCAACTTGCATAACCTTTGCTGTTGATTAAATGGCACCATGTCAGCCCCCACTGGGCTGCTGCTGAGGGTACCTCTTGTACATTCTGAAGCAGGGGTTTGGGCTCTTAGTTCTCTTGGCTGGCTGTAACGGACACTTCCGTTTAGGAGTCCACATGTAGGTGCCAGCTCTGGGTATGGCCCTCTTGGTCAGTGGTGGGGCAGATTCTTACCCTGCTCACGTCAAATTGTACAACCCCATGATTAATCCCCACCACCAGCCCCTGCACATCCTCATCCCTCTGCTTCCAACCTTTCCCATTCCTCTTGGATCCTTATATTCATTCTACAATAATGGTTCTAGACATCCTAGTCCACAACATCAACAGTCTTCTAAGCATCCTGAAAAAATCTACAACCAGGAGAGGCTAAAATAAACAAATGGGACCTTCTAAGAATCAAATCCCTATGCACATCCAAAAACTCCAACAGGGTAAAAAAGGAAGCCACAGACAGGGAAAAAATATTTGGTAATGATATGTCAGAACAAGATAAACAACTCAACTGAAAAATGGGCACAGTACATGAACAGACACTTCACCAAAGAAGACATTCAGATGGCAAAAAAAAACCAACACATGAAATGTTCAAAATCCTTAGCTCTAAGAGACATGCAAATCAAAACAACTATGAGATATCATCTCATACCAGCAAGAATTGCAAAATTTAACAGAACAGCAAACAACAAATGCTGGTGAGGTTGTGGAGAAACTGGAACACTTATTCACTGTTGGTGGGAGCGTAAAATGGTGCAGCCACTGTGGAAGGCTGTATGGTGCTTTTTCAAAAAGCTGCAAATAGAAATACCATTTGACCCAGGAATTCCACTACTGAGAATATATCCCAAAGAGACCATAACTGCCACTCAAGCAGGTATATGCACACTCATGTTTATCATGGCTTTGTTCACAACAGCAAGGAGTTGGAAACAACCCAAGTGCCCTTCAACAAAGGAATGGATAGAGAAGCTGCGATATATTCACATAATGGAATACTATGCTGCATTGAAAAACAAGGAACTCGTGCAGTATTATTCAAAATGGGTGACCCTGGGGGATATTATGCTGAGTGAAGTATCTCAGTCACAAAAGGACAAATACTGCATGGTGCCACTGTTGTAAAATAGGACTGACCTTGGGGTTGGGGGGAGACTGAGAAAGATGGGTTCAATAGTGTATGCTGCATTGAAAAAGATGAGATAACTGTTCAAAAGGGATGTATGATTAGGTATTATTGTCATGACATGAGTCCAGAACGAAGGCTGCATAGTGGAGTTGACCTGGGGAGAGATTGTATCACAATGAAAGAATTTTACTTTTCAAAGAGAAGAGCGAACTGGAGGGGAGGGGTGGGCAGGGAGAAAAATGCAACCATAAATGAATGGAAATCCAAAATCTGTGTAAATTTTTGTTAAAATTAATACTAAAAATGAGGGGGAAACAGCCAGTATTTATTCTGTGGGACTGAGTTCACTCCAGAAAACATTTTGCTGGACTTGATCTTTAGGGCGCTGATCCCTGCCTGCGTTTGAACTGCTGACCTCTTGCTTGGCAGCCAAGCACCTACCTAACCATTGCCCCACCAGGGCTCCTGCTAGAGAGGGAGATTAGTATTTCAGAGGGCGGCCACAGGCAGCAGCTAAGGCCGGGTGGGCCAGAGGAGCACCGACCGCCAGCGCGCGATCCCGCGAGCGCTCCCCGACGTCACGTGCGCCCTGACGTCAGGGACTCACCGACGTCACGTGCGCCCTGACGTCAGGGACTCCCCGACGTCACGTGCGACCTGACGTCAGGGACTCCCCCGCGTCACGTGCACCCTGACGTCAGGGACTCCCCCGCGTCACGTGCGCCCTGACGTCAGGGACTCCCTGCGTCACGTGCGCCCTGACGTCACCCAGCGCGCGGAGTGGCTTCCGGTGTCTGCTCGCCATGGCGACGGCGCTGTGTCGCGGCCAGGAGCTCCCGGAGGAGCCCTCCAACCCACGGACGCGGAGCGCCGGGCCGCACTGGGCCGGGCCGGCGGTGGGCAGAGGGGCAGCCGACGGCTTCGAGGGCGTGAGCACCGACCGCCTCAAACTGGAGCTGCTGCAGGAGATGCACATGAAGTGAGCACGGCGTCACTCCCCCGCCTGCGGTCCCCACGGTCCCCACGCCCGGGTCCGGTCTTGGTCCCCATGGTCCCAGGCCCCCGGTCACGGGCCCCCCGGTCACCGTCCCCACACCCCCCACGCCCGTGTCCAGTCTGCTGTCCCCACGGTCCGAGTCCTCGAGCCCAGGTCCTGTCCGTTGTCCCAAGGGTCTGGTCCACCCGCTCAAGTCCTGTCCACAGTCCGAACGAGTCCAGTCCACACGCAGCGAGTACGCACTGTTGTGCTCAACGGACTGAGAGGCCGACGCTGCAGAATTCCAGGCAGAGTCCTTTACTGGCTGCAAAGCGGGAGAGGCCCAGCAGGCAGGACCCCCCTTGTGTTTTTGCTCAGAGGCTTTTTCTACTCTTACTCCAGGGGCCGTGCTGGCTGCAGCAGCCTACTGTTCAAAACACTTAAGAGGCAAAGAGATACAGGACAACGTTTTGCTGTTGAGACAATTCAAGGGCACAGAGTTACATGACCAGCAACCTGCAGCTGAAACATTTGAAGATACATTGTAGACAGCAGCAGTGACTGTTCTGGGAACCAGTTCAAGGCACAGTTCTGAGACTTGGGCAAAAGATTTTTAGCACAGGAGTTTAGCTACTTAAAATGGAGTCTTTTTGGCTTTTCATGCACCTCCCGAGGGTAGTCCACACATCCTGAGTGCAGTCACTGTCCCCACGGGTGTAGTCCCCACGCAGGAGTCCAGTCCGCAGCTCCGGGTCCAGTCTGTACCCCTGGGTCCGGTCCATACACCCCAAGTCCAGCCCACACATCCCAGGAACCTTTCTGTCACCTTAGTGCAGTTCTGTGTGGACTGTCCCTCAAAGGCCCTGCCCCAGAGTTACCATGCCTCTTCCAGCTGTAATCAGTTCAAACCTTGTCCTTTCAGTGACGAGGAGCCACTTAGTAATGTGTGTCAGAGGGGGGCTCTGCTCCACGTGGTGTCAGCCCCTGGATTTCGGAAGTGTCTCTCCAGGCCCTTCTTATGAGTCCCTGTAGATGGACTGTTGGAATGCCCAGCCTTTGATATAGCCACATGTGTGAACCCCGCACCACCAGGGACATGCTTTCACAGACAGTTTAGGGAACACAGGGCCTGCCTTTAGGGTCAAATCAAACAGACTATTAAGCAGGCTAGGTGGACTGTGGTCATTGTTGGTGGGTGCTGTCAAGTCAGTGGAGATTCAGAGTGCCCCTTCCCTGTATGGGGAGTGGGCCTCCATGTAGCCCCGTCCTCGTCTCTGCTGTGGACGGCCATGGCTGCAGTCAGTGTGTGTCAGTCCAGCTCAGGGGAAATCTCTTCTCCAGTGCTCTGTCCTCCAGGACCTGGTCCCTCCTGGCCCAAGTGTGTGAGATCACTTCTCACTGTCTTCACTTATAAAGATCACTCTGGGTGCTCTTCTCCCAAGATCGGTTTGCTTGCCCTTGGACAGAACATGGCATATTCAGTCTTCTTCAACACTGCAATTCAAAGGCATTAATTCGTCAGTCTTTCTTATTTCTTGACCAACATTCATACCCATAAGTTGTTGCCAGGTGCTGTCGAATTGAGTGTGATTCATAGCAACCCTGCAATGAGCAGATCTGAATCCTGTCCTATCCTGTGCCATCCGCATCCTGTCTGATATACTTGAGCCTGTTGCTTCAGAAAAGATCTAAGAGGTGATTGGAAATACCATTGTTTAGTTCAGGTGTGCCTTAGTCCTCAAAGTGACAGCCTTACTTTTTAGCCCTCTTTAAGAGTTTCAAAATAGTGATTTTTTTTTATTATGAAAATTTTGCCTATTTCTATAACTTTTTAAACATTTGATGATGAATTGTATAACACTCCTTTTTGCTCTACAACATTCTGGGTTTTCCTCTGATGAGTTCAGGGGGAAAAAAACACCCCAACCTTCCACCCTTCCTAGTCCTTAAAATGAGAGGGAAAGCATTCCGGAAATCCACCAGTAGCCAGGAAATTAAAAGATGTATTACTATGGGGAAGTCTGCTGTTAGTGACCTCTCCAAAGCACTGAAGAGCAATGGTGTCTCTCTGGAGATTAAGGTGCGTCTGATACGGGCCATGGTCTTTGCAATCACTTGTTATGCATCAGAGAGTTGGACAATGACTAAGGACGATAGAAGGAGAATAGATGCCTTTGAGCTGTGGTGCTGGAGAAGAGTATTGAGGGTACCATGGACTGCTAGGAAAACAAACAGATTCATCCTGGAAAGGGTTAAACTGGGCAGCTTCTTGTAGGCAAGGATTCTGAAGCTCCATCTAACATACTTTGAACATGTTATAAGGAGGGACCGGTCCTTGGAGAAGGACAGCGCAGGAGGGGAAGGCCCTCTATGAGGTGGATTGATTCAGTGACTGGGGTAATCAGGATGGGAGTGTCAGAAACAGTGCAATTGGCACAGGACAGAGCAGAGTTTAGGGCTGTTGTACATAGGGTTGCTATGAGTCACAAGTGACTCAACGGCACATAACAACAATAACAACATATATTCAAATGCAAGGAGACACCCACATAGGTGAGCAGGAATGATTCAAAAAAATACGGCTGAGGAACAAAGAGATGATGGTACAGCCTTTTGTTAGTCCTTGGCTCTTAGCAGGGTGTGTGCAGGTGGGAATAGGGTTTATTGGATAATGGAGTTTAGAGGATTTCCAATGATCGATTTCAGAAACTAGTCACAGAGGCTTCCATCCATAGTTATACCAGACCACCACTGAGAAGGCTAGTTATGGTGCGGTCCTAGAGCACAACTGAGGTAGCTACCTATGATGGACACAAGACCACCACTGAGAGAAGTAGCTATGTTGGGGTCCTAGACCACCACTGAGGTGCCCGTAACTAGTTACCTTGGAACTTTGTGAAAATCCCTTGGTTGTAGAACCTTAATTCTCCAAACAGCCTGTTAAACAAAAACCTTCAAGTTATCTGGGAAACAGTTATCTGATTGTAAGATTTAAATGCTTTTTGTTAGATCTTTGTCATGAAGAACTATTTATTAAGCCTGTTTTGAAAGAAGAGAGCCGTGTTGGGAGCCTCTTCTAGGAGTGTGTTTCTTCTGCACCTGGTTAGCCCCTGTAACTTCTTATGGTCAACACGGCCAACTGGGAAAAGATTTCAAGTTGCCTCTCTGCATTGCAGATAAGCAAAACACGACATGCCTGACAGGAAGGAAGCCAGTTTAATTCAGCAAGAATTGAGTTTTATTTATTCTCTTATACTCAAAATTATTTTAATGAATGTTTCCTTTGAAATTATAATCACCCTTGTGTTTATTGTCATGATGCTAAAACACCTATTCTGAGAACAGGAAGTCCCTCCATGACCTAGACAGGCTGGAGGTTACCTGCCGCCATGGGTCCAGCCAGAGCAGTGCAGGGGAGGACGGGGGAGGATGAGGCCCAGTGGCTGCAGCAGCCTGAGCAGCATGGGGGAGGATGGGGGTGGAAGGACAAATCTGTATCTGTTGTTCATGGGCCCCTGACAATAGCAAGAGCATTCATATACTCTTGAAAAAAGCTGTGCCTATTCTGAGGACAAGTTCTATACATTTCCTTTGGAAGAAAAACAGCTTTAGAGGTTATATTGTTATTGCTGTTAGGTTCTGTCCAGTTGATTCAGAGTGAACAACCCTGGTGATAAAATGATTAAAACGTAGGACTGTTCATGGGAAGGTTGGAATTTCAAAGCCACTAGCAGCCCTTTGGGAGAAAGGTGTGTCTCTCTGCTCCCTAAAGATTGCTGCCTTTGTTCTTAGATGCTGTCTGTTTTCTTCTGATTGTCATGACCTCGTGTCCAGCAGAATGGAACTGCCTGCCCAGTCCTGCACCATGAGCCCACTGCAGCCACAGTGTCACTCCATCTCCTGAAGGTCCTTCTTTCTGCTGACCTTCCACTTGAGCAAACGTGACATCCTGCTTGTTCCACCCCTGTGGACACCATGCCCAGAGTATGTGAGACAGGATCTCCTGTCCTCCTACTAAGGAACATGCTGGTTGCACTTCTTCCAAGACAGATTTGTTCTCTGGCCATCCGTTGCATGTTCACCACACAGCTCAAGTGCATGCCCCTCCAGCTTTTCTTACTCATGGCCACTTTCTCATGCATAGGAGGGAATTGGAAATACCACTGTGTGGATCACACAAAATTAATCCCCAAAGTGACATCTTGAACCTGTAGAATTTGAAAGAGGTCATTTGTGGCCCATTTTCCCAGTACAATATATCCTCTTACTTCTTTATTGTTTCTTCATATTCTGCTAAAGCAATTTTCTCTGTAATTTACTGCCTTTGAAAATCCACTGGAGGGAGTCCATTCTGGCCCAGTGGCACACAACAACAACAATGAAGTAGATTAAAGGAAATGCTTGCTTCACAAGATAAAAGACTACCACCATCAATATGAATTACATCTCAGTGCCAAGAAGACAGATTCCTTACGTCTGGGCCAGTAGGTAGCATTATGAGAGCAGGAGAAAAGAGAAAAGATGGCAGTTCTTATGAAAAAGATGTCATCTTACTTGGATGCACAGTCCCAACCCTTGGTATCAACATTCATATTCATTCCATTCTTTTCTCTCTCTCTCTCTCTCTCTCTCTCTCTCTCTCTCTCTCTCTCTCTGTCTCTCTGTCTCTCTAGAATTGATCCAGAGAGCATAGAGGCTTGTGAGTCCCAGGTTCTTAACTGAGCTGAGGCCTGAGGCACCATGGGTCACACAAAGCAAGACACCCCTCCCACATCCTTAACAGACAAGGCGCAGTCCACTCCTTTGAGCCAAGACCCCAGTCCAAATCACCATTTACCGCAGATCTTGTGGCAGGAATGACTGTCCATGTGAGACCCCATCAAGGGTGTGAACACTTCAAAAACCACAGAACCACAGGCAGCTGAGGAGAGACAGCTCTGACCAGCACACCAGGCAAGCAGACTCTTACAAGAACTCATGCTGTTGTGTTGCAGCTGACTCATAGCTGATCCTCCAGAGGCAGTACACCACATGAGGAGATTGTCTGTCTTCCTCTGCAGCTGTGCATCTGAACCACCAGAGCAGTATTGTCTTTGGGTTAGCCACCAGAGTCCCTGAACTCTGTGAGGCCATGTTAAGAGTGAAGGCTTTCTGGCATTCCGGGCCACCTTTCCTTGCTAGGACCGCTGGTTCTCTTTGTGACCTGCTCGCTGCTCACTGAGAGATTGCCAGTGTGACCTCGCTTGCAGTTCTTTGGGAAAAGGCACCGTCTCCCGTTAGCATTTCCATTCTTGGGAAGCTGGCAGAGGCCTGTGTTCTGAACTCAACTGTGTCTCCAGCAAGCCCCGGCATGACAATGCTCCCTGATAACTGTTCCTTGAAGCAGCACGCGCCAGTTCCCTGTGTTGCCATTTTTAGGTGAGTTGTAATGAACACAAATATTTTTCCTCAACAGGGATGTAGTGCAGCTCTCTATGCTTGATATAAAACACAAGATAATGGAATTGGAAGCCAAAGTCGGCGTTGGCAGTGAAGGTACATAAGTGAACAACCTTACCTATGAATATGGTAGAACGCGTTTCTCTCTAACAGATGCCAGTGGTGTGTTCAAGTACAAGTGGTTGAAACAAACTAATATGCTTTCCATGTTGCTGTCTGGTGACTTCTGTCATCATTTATGGATGTGGCTAGAGTGCAGCCACACTGTGCGATTGCAATCAGTGTCACAAACCAAAATGGTTTTGAATTATTGAGTGGAAAACCAATCTGCTCTGTAAGCTTTCTTCAGAATAATAATAAGTAGGTAGTTACAAACTAACTTATTGAGGCTTTAAAATTTGCATTTCAGAGTGCCCAACCTATTTCTATAATTCTTCCACCTGCCAAACTGGTCAGGTCCATCATTTACCCAAGCCTCTACGGCAACACTTCATTTCCTTATTAGACAAGAAAATATCACAAATTTCCTATTAAAACTTAAGTCACACACTTCAAGTCTTTCCATACGGATTTGAGTGGTGAACACACTCATTGACACCTACACGCCTACTCCCTGGCCTTCGGAATCTGCCGGCTGCAGGGATGTGATGCTCTCACTTCCAGACCACAGCATACAGCAAATATTACAATAAGCAAGTCACGTGCAGTCAGTCACTTGGTGCAAAAAGAAGTTGTGTTGACACTATACTGTAGTCTGTTGTGTGCTGTGGGGTTGGAACCAACCGAGCTGAACCTCCACTGGGTTTTCAGAGGCCATAAATTGCATGGAAAGAAATTGTCCATCTTTCCCTTGCAGAGCAGCTGGTAGATTCAAACTGCACCTGCCTTTGGGTTTACAGTACATCTTACAACTGTGCCCCCAGCGCTCCTTGTTGTGTGTATATATTGTGTTTGTAGTAATTGTGAAAAAGTTTAAAGTGTTGTAAGAACTACTCGAGTGAGACACAGAGGCACAGAGCGAGCCATCATTCACTCCCGATGCAGCATGTCCCAGCACCTTCAGTTTGGAGAATCCACAGACTGCAACACAGGGGTGCCTGTGTTTAACTGAGACGGGAGTCCTTATGTCACACTGATGGCCAGCCCACGGTGTGAGAGTGCGTGAATGCAGACATGGACCACCCTGACCAGGAGCCATCATTACTACCTGAAGACACCCAGGGGGACAGTGCAAGTGACGTCAGGACACGGAGCTGTCCAAGGGTCACCAGTACAGGGAAGCTGATTCCATCAGTCTTCTGCTGATGGTAGAGGGAGGTTCCCAGCCCAGGGAGGAGAGTTGAGAGGACACGCTCTCCTGGCACTTCTGCTGGTGATAGTTGTCCCTCGCCTACATTTCCCTCTCCTTGCTCTTTTCCCCCTGTGAAAGTGGATACAGCCAACACCCCAGGGCACCCCTATCTATCAGCTCAGTCCTGTGAGGTGATAGGGACACTCCAGGGAGACCAGGAGCGGCTGCTCAGTACTGTGGCATAGCCTTGTGAACCCTGTGTGGTCAACATACCAGGACTGAGGTACGCTAGAGACACTCCAACCCCTGTCCATCAGACCAGGGGTGTGACATGAGGGGATGCACTCTATCAAACCCTGCCCATCAGATCAAGGGGTGGCATGATGGTGTTAACAACCCAGAGACCCTGTAGATCTTATTTGACTGTGACATAATGAAGAGACATCACAGAGAAACCTGTATATATTGGCTGTGACATGATGGGGACACACTGCAGGGAACTCTGTACATCAGATCCTCCCCTGACCCCCCCCACCATCCCCATCCTCCCCATCTCCCTCACCTTCCTCATCCCATCCTCCCTATCCCCCACCATCTTCCTTATCCCCCACCATTCTCCCTATCCCCCTCATCCTCCCCACCCTCCTCCACCATCCCTGTCCCCCTCATCTTCCTCCACCATCCCCATCATCCTCATCCTCCCAGTCCTCACCCTCCCCATGCACATCATCCTCTTCACCACCCCAGCCTCCTCCACATACTCATCCTCCCCATCATCTCCCTCCTCCCCATCCATTTTCATGATCCCTGTCCTCTCCATCTTCATCTTCCCATCAGCCACATCCTTCTCATTCATCATCTTCCTCCCCCCATGAGCTCCATCCTCCCAGGATGCCCCTGTTCTTACCACCACCCTCATCTTTCTCAATCCTTCCCATTTCCATATTTTACTCATCCTCCCTCTCTTAACTGAGAAAAAAGCAGTAGAAGAAATTTCCCCATGCTTCCACCAACCATTAATCCCACTGTTTATGTGCAAACACCTCTTTTTCACACACTGAAGGTTGGGACAATCCTGTGTGAAGTTAGTTTATCAGCGCATTTGTGCTCTCATGTCTCTGCCAAATTTTGGTCATTCTCACACTGTTTAACTGTTTTCCTAATGATGTTAGTTAGGTGCTGTCCTGTCAGCCTACACCCATAACAGTCCTTGGTACGGCAGAAACCTTGTCTGACTGTGCTCCATCCTACAATCATGCCTGAGCTTACACCTGCTAAAGTCACTGTTTCAGTCCGTCTCATGGAGGGTCTTCCTCTTGATAGCTGATGCTCAGTGTCTTTCTCTAGGGACCATGACATTTAGTAGATCCAGTATAGTGAATGTAGTATAAACATAACGTTATATGTTCTTGAAAGCCAAAACACATACTGGCTCTACTGCAGGTTTGGTTCACCCAACCTGCAGGGTCTCCATCATACACTTATGGACAATGCCAGATTGAGCTGGTTGGTGTTGGTTGAATGCATAACAGAGATGATTGGATGATCTTGATCCCCCCTCCTCTTTTGCATGCAGGTGGTGAATGGAAAACCCGTTATGAAACCCAACTTGAACTGAACAGTCAGCTGGAAAAGCAAATTGCTTCTCTCAAAGAGAAAATGGAAAAATTCCGTGGAAATCCATCAGGTTCATGAGCAATCCTTATTTTTGTTTTGTTATTTGGGTTAAAACCACTGTCACAGTGTTCTGACCCTTTTGGAGGCTTGCAGCCTAAATTCGGGGCACCAGCTCAAGGGGAGACCTTCTGTCAGCTCTGCAGGCAGGTCTTTGTCTGCATCTGTGGTTCTGATGCTTCTGGGGAGATCTCCGTGTTTCTTGGTGTCAGGCTTCCTCTGGGTCTAGGAGGTACAGAGCATGGGGACCCTGGGCCTGAGGACATGTGCCGCCCAGCTCTTCTTTATTGATGGTATTGAGGCCTCTCCTCCTCTGCACACCTCTTCCCCTTTATCTTGGCAGTGATCTGAGTCTGAGTGTGGCATTCTCATATGATCCTTCTATGTTGGATCAGGGCTGATCACAGTCAGTCCTGAGAGCCTATGGTGGAAGGGAGGTTACATGATTGTGTAACTGCCACATTACATCACTATCTCTCTGCCATGAAACACCCTCACATCACAGCCTCACGTAACCCTCACTTCACCCTCATGTCACCCCCACTTCATACCCTCACATCACCCCCACATCGCACCATTATGTAATCTACATGTCACACCCTAACATAACCATGGTCACATCATTACATAACCCACCAGGTCACACCGTGACATAACCTCCACATCACTTGACTGTGTAACCACCAGGTCACACTGTTCTGTAACTGTCACATTACTTCATCCAGTAACCATCATGTCCCATTGTGGCAGAACTACCCCATTAGGGCTCGGCTTGCCTGCTACACCACTGCAGATTATGGCCCACCCTGATTGATATCATTCCGGCAAGGACACACCATTCAGTCCATGATGGCCGCTGCAGTCATAACAGCTTCTGTTTCCTCTTTCATAGATAGACTGTCTTCCATCCGCATCTATGAACGGATGCCATTGGTAAGTAAGAGATGACCAGAAGCAGTCAAAGTCCCCTTTTCCCTCTTTCCCAGTACTCTGGGAAGTGACTGAGAGGCTGGCCTCAGGACAGTGTTTGCTACTAGAGGAGCATCTGTGGTTGTGTGACCAGGCCTCCAGCTTCATCTCCACCATCACTGTTGGCCAGGACTTCTCTTCTTCATGATTGTGATTTGAGTCAAAATATACAGAGGAACTGGTGTTCTAGTCCACAGTTCACCCACCTTAGATGTTAGCTACACTGTAACCACACTCAGTATAACCCTCCCCACAGTGTAACACACTCTTGCCTTCTCCTCCCATTTCTGTTATTCTCTTTTCACCCTTCCTGTCTTCTGTTCTTTATTCAGACCTTTGATCTTGTGGCTTTGATGTGTTTCTTTGTGGTGTTACTGGTCACTGTACTGTTTTGCTGAAAGTTGTGTCCCAGCAGTGAGTTTAGTTGTAGCCCTGAAAGGTTACCAGAGGCCTTTGGGTGTTCACAATCTCTTGCGGACCAGTAGGCCAGGTCTTTTCGGAGTTTCTTTATATTTTCCTCCCATTCTTTGAGGGACCTTTTTACTGCAGGCCCTTCAGAGAGGTGAACAGTGAGAGTAGCTGGACACCAGCTACTTCCGGGCTCAGGCAGTTGAGGCTGAAATTCACGTGGCCCGTAGGTCCTTTGGACCAGTAGTCTTGGATTTGCTTTACTGATCTTTATTCTATATTAAGAGAGACCGGGCATTGCACACTTTGTGCCCAGCAAGGTAAGATGCTGACCTCTGTGCACTGTGCACAGCAATTGACTTTGTGCCTGAGACTGTAATCTAGAGCCTGCAGGCGGGGCAGGGGTTTGCTGCAGGAATATGTGGTACGAAGTGAAAATCTCAGGAGTCTGCAGGCTGGACTTTAGTCACTTGCGAATGAAAGAGCCTACTTAACACAGAAATGCAGATCTGATTCATGCTGAAAATGAGGTTTCCACCTTAGTGAGCATTGGATAATACCAGGGTCAGAGCACTTGACCACACCAGCCAAGCTTCCTGTCAGGGTGCAGCCTGGAGGTCAGCCAGAGCGACAGTTTGAGGGCTGGACAGTACCAGGGTACATGGTGCTGGTCTCCCACACATCATGCCTTACACATAACCATGAACAGTGGGGTAACAGGTACCCATCTTCTAAACAGTCAGAGCTTAACACATGACCCTGATGGATGCAGGTGTGAACTGACCACTCCCGTCTGTGTGGATTCCTGAGTTCCTGGTCCTGTGACCACAAGTGTCACAATTACCTATTTACGGTGTGGAGTTGTTGTCCAGTGGTGGAGAGGTGAGCCACTTACTGCTGTTAGGTGCCGTCAAATGAGTACAACCCTTAGCAGTACTGTGAACAACAGACCTGAGCCCTGTCCTATCCTGTGTTGTCCTCACATTCTTGACACACTAGAGCTTATTGCAACAGTCATTGTGTCAGTCCACCTGGTCAGAGGTCTTCCTCTCTTTTGTTGACCCTCCACCTTACCAAGCATGATCTCCCTCTCCAAGGAATAGCCCCTTCTGTTAACATGCCCAAAGTACGTGAGGTGAAGCTTTATCATTTTTGCCTCCAAAAAGCACTCTGGCTGCACCCTCTCCAAGACATATCTGTTTGTTCCTTTGGCAGTCCAGGGAACACCACAGCTCAAAGGCATCCATAACTGAGAGTGGCATCTTGGACAGCACCTTGCCTACTACAGCGCCTTTTGCCCCCTGAACTGCTGCGTCCGTGAGTGCTGAATGCAGGCCTTGCTCAAGCAGTTCTGTGCTTTCTCCATGCATCATACCATTGCTTATACATGGTCTGTTGTGCTGCTTGCCTTGCAATAAGGCCTGGCAGTCTGCTCCCATGAAGATGACGCCTGGACAGTCCTGTGGGGACGGGAGCTCCCAGGTCAGACCCAGCTCTTGCCAACAGTGACAAGGACTGCCACCCTCCAGGAATCATTTCTGATTGAGGCCCATGAGTGCTGTGTGGCACCACCCAGCTCTTAACCATCCACATCCCTCCCATTGTGAATGCCTGTTTCTCCCAGAGCAACTGCTGCCACAGAGGCTGAGCCTTTCTACTCCACATGAGGGGTGAGCAGTGAGACAGGCTTTACCTGAAGAAGGGACAGCCTTGGACCTCGGCGTGGCTGTCGCCTCGGTTCTTCTGGGTTGTCACGGTGGGCATGTGCACAGCAGTGGGGTGGGTGTGAACAAGCCCCCCGTGCTGGGCAATTCTAAAGATGCTCTCAAAGAACCATTCATCGTCTGTTTCTGGTACTCACTCTTACACTGCCTTGAATTTTAACTACTGTTTCCTTTGTGTGTTTATGCAAACTCTGGAGTGTGGGCTCATACTCTATTCACAAATATTTGTATAAGAACACTATTCTCCTAACTGACTTGTCACCACTGGGCCAGTTGGCAGCACCGTGATAGATGGAGAAGAGATTGAGGTTATTAACAGTTACGGCTTGCTCATCTCCACAATCAACACTGTTAACACTAGCAGTCAGGAAATCAAAAGATGAATTGCACTGGGGAAGTCTGCTGTCAGGGACCTTTCTAGAGTGCTGAAAAGCAACGATGTCAGTCTAGAGACTAAGGTGCACCTAATCCAGTCCATGACCTTCACAATTGTTATGCGTCAGAAGGCTGCACGATGACTAAGGATGACAGAAGAATCATTGCCTTCGAGTTGTGGTGCTGGAGAAGAGTCTTGAACAAACTATGAACTGACAAGAAAACCAGTAAGTTTGTCTTGGAGAGGGTGAAACCAAATTTCTCCTTGGAGGCTAGGATTTTGTAGCTCTGTCTTGCATACTTTGGGCATGAGGCCAGGAGAGACCAGTCCTTGGAGAAGGACATCATGCTTGGAATTGTGGAGGGACAGGGCTGAAGAGGAAGACCTCAGATGAGATGAATTGATACAGTAACTAGGGCAGTGGGGGTTAGTGTGTCGGAATCGGGAGACCAGCTCAGGAGACGGCTTCAGAGCTGCTGTGCACAGTGTCACCGTGGTTGGCACATAACAGCAGCAGTTGACTTCTACAAGGAGCTTTGGTGGTGTAGTCATGGGAGTCAAGCTGCGAGCCCAAAGGCAGCCCCTCTAGAGGTTCAGCTCCACCAGCTCTCCTCGGGACAAAGGTGGACAGTCCCCTTTCACACTGCTTGCCTCTGAAAACCTGTTGGAGCATCAGCTATGAGTTAGTTCCAGCTGACCAGCAATGAGAGAGTGCAAAAAGTCTCAGAAATTTCATTTAGAGCTCAGGTGGTGGTTTCTCTCTGCAGCAGCATTGGAAGGGCTAGAATCTCTTTGTTAGCTGCTACCTGGTTGATTCTGACTCCCCACAGTCGTCTGTACAATAGAATGAAGCCCAGCAGTCCTGCACCATCCTCCCACTCCTGCTATCTGAGTCCATGCTTGCAGTCCTGGTCAGTCTACTTCATTGGGCATGGTCTTCTCCTTTGCTGACCCTCCAGTTTACCCAGCATGATTTCCTCTTCCAGGGACTGGCCCCTCCCAACGGCATGCCCATAGCATGTGAGATAAGGCCATCCTGGCTTCATTCTGCTCAGATTGGCTTGTTCTTCTAGTGGTCTGGGGTCTACTCGGCAGTCTTCACCAACAGCGATGTCCAGAGGCATTGATTCTTCTCCTGCCCTCCTTGTTGCTGATCTCTGCCGAAGGGTGAGGTGCTTGGAGACACCATCTCTGGGCCAGCTTCCCAGCAGCCCGGGCTCAGAGTCCCAGGGGGAGGACACGTAGGCCGAGCCTGTGCGGCTGCTCTCTCAGTCACTAGTCACATGAGCCACACTGGGCTCATAAGGGTCTTGTGTCCTGTGAGGAACCAGGGTGGCCTCAGAAACACATGGCACGGCTTCCCTTGATTTTCTTCACAGGCAAGTTGGTATTTGGGGAGGGGAACCTTCAGGTTAATTTTTAATCCAGTGGATAATTAATTTTCAAAGACAAATACTGTCTGCCTGAGAAATGCTGTTTGCCTGTGAGTGGACAGGAGGCCTGATGGTGCAGCATTAAGTGCTCAGCTGCTGAGAAGTCTGTAGTTCAAGGCCCTGAGGTATGTCATGGGAGGAAGTGGGCCTCAGTTAAAGAAGGCAGCCTTGGATCCCAGTGCGACAGCCCTCCAATGTCCTGCAGGACTGCTGGGAGTCAGTCAACTCGAGAGCAGTGTGGACTTCGCTTTGTTTCTTAGGATCAGACAGAGAACTTGGATCACGTGCAGATTTGTTCAGCACCTGCATTATTCTGAGATGCCAGAGCTTGCCCTATTTCTGCTGACCTTGTTATCCTCCTAATGCTGTGTTAATAATTTTAATAATTATTAGCAGATGGCTGGCAGGTAAGGTGTGAAGGGCTGGCTGTCGCCGTGTGTCAATTTCAGGGTACTGGGTCCTGTAGCTCAGAGTTCCCTCCCAGAGTTGCTGGGTGAGATTTCATTGGGTGTTACCATTTGTCTTTGAAACTCTCTGAGTAGATTTTGGACTGTGACCTGAATAAAGATCTACGCAAAGATCTACACAGAGTATTTGGCTTGGAGATTTCTTTTTCTAACATGTAAGAAAATGACAGCAACCTGCCTTTCCACTTACAGTAGTAGTTTAAGGATGAAAACCACAAGCAGAATTGTTGTGCATGGTTTCTGGGGACCCTGACTAGCCTTTTCTCAGAGTTTACCCACCGTGCCTTGGAATTCATCTTGAACAGCTCAAGATGGGCCAGCTAAAAAGGGAAGAGTCCCACCACGGAGTGAACCTTTTCTGTGCCATGTTCCCGGTCTCAGCTACCAACAGTCACCCCAGGGCAGGGAGCCTCCATGGTTGCTCTGGTACAGGCTCTCCCTCCACCATCGCCAGTCTGACCAGTGGCAACACAGGTAATACTCATAGTGGTGAAGGCCACCAGCAGCAGAGAAGCACAGCCAGCGGAGGGGGAGAGGCACAGTGACCTCAACCCGC